CCATTCTATAAAAATCGCTTATTGCTCTTTGAATATAATGATGTAATGAAATTGTAAATTTTGTAAAAATGTCAAATTGAAAGAATTGTTCATTGAAAACCCTACACTGACTGATCACTATTGTAAATACTGGGGGCGAGTCCCTCGAAATGTCTATGTCCGTAAAAGACCTGCATTAATTGACTTCAATACAAGGCAAACATACATTTCTGTATGAAGTCCACACAATCAACATAATTCTAACTTGACAAACTCGCTGAATGTCTACGGAAATCTTTCCACAAACCTTCAGAACAAGAACTGCACAGTGCAATGCCCTGTCACTCACGGTTACTATGGCAACTGGCGTCCAGATTTAGCCCTGAAGAAAGATGCCAATTATTCTTTGTATTGACAGAGCATGATAGAGAACATGTGTGACATCCTGCCAGCTCAATTTAGCCTCTGAATTAGTATGGGCTGCCCACGTGCAAACTCTGATTCACAGTCCGCTGCAGGTGGTCTTAAGATCTTTTCTAGTTCGCTCATTTAATGCATGTATAGCGTAACGGGTTACCTCACATGTCTATTCAATCAGACTTTGAGGACTATGCAGCCTTGTATACAAAAGGAATAGAAACAACTTCAAATAATATCAGATACACTGAGTTCCATCTCACCCCAACTTATATGTTATTTTATTTCTGACCGATTAATATTAATCATCATTCTAAAAACAGACACATGCCATGTAAAGACAAAAGTACTGATGATGTAGCAATTACACAGAAACACAATTTCAAAGTGCTTCCTCTCAAACAAACTAGAGTATATTTAAGCAATATCAAAAGAGTGCTGTTATACAGAGTATCAGCACAACAGAGATTCTGTGGTATTCTTGTCCAATCAACCACTGTCATGAACAATTCACTTGCCTGTTGAGGACCCAAGGGCGTAGTCGTTTGTAATGCCTGATCAAACAAAACCATAATACCTAGCCTGACTTCGTCATACTCATATTCTAGTCAGAATGTGAGTCTGATACTGCTCCATAGAGCTTTGATTATGAGATGTGTCTTAACCGAACCAGAAAAAAAAAAAACTCTGCACTCAATTGGATAGACCTACAACCAATGAGAGCAACGCAGTAAGTCAACTACTTTGCATAGCACAGTTGTCAACTACAGAACTCAACTGCACACACGCTGGAAGAAGTAAAATAACGAGTGTTGCTTCTTTTCCTTGGTCCTCTATGAGTGCGACCAAAGGAAAAACCACAACGACCACAGGGTTTTCATTGCGTCCCATCTTCTTAGGCTGCGTTTACACTTGGCATTAACATGCGACCTGTATCTGGATGTTGTCCACATACACATTGAAAAGACAAGTGTAAACGCACATCTGATCGGAATGTTATCCGATCAGCGTGTCCCGGTTCGGAGGTGGTCGAGGACGCATTGTGATCGGATCTCAGTGTAATGTAAACGCAATCCAGCCATCGTGTCTGCATTCACAGGTGAACGTAATTTAAATCCCCGCCCAGTCTCCCCGCGTGACTGTCAGAAAGTAATGGCCAGACGCAGTTTAGACACGAAATTAAACTTATTTGAACAATAAACGTCAATCTTTAAAACAGTTTATTTATGTGTGTCATTTTTCATTATAATTGTGCAACATTATCTGAACAAGGCGATCGCCTGTAGCCTACACTCACAGTCAGTCATGAGATCTTAACGAAGAGCTGAACGCTGCATGCTATGCCAGAGGAATAATCGGAATCGGAATTTTTTAATGTTTTAAATGTTGAATGTTTTTATTGTTTCAGCATGTTTATCAATCTCCCATTTCTGTCAATATAGTCATTGCACGCAACCTTAAACCCAGATACCCAGATGATCGATGATATGTGACTTGTTTAACATGATCAACCCAGTTATTTTTGTAAGATCAACTCTGGAAGTATTCCTTCTTTCAAAAAATATAATTTGATCTAATTAATGGAGATTGCATATGAAAGTAAAGTGAGTGAGTGAAAGCAATTGGGATGTTTACTATTAATCTGGTGTCGTGCCACAGACCTGATTTAAATATTATGCGGGAAACAGAAATCCGATCGGTTATCCAGATACAGAGGCTGCTTAATGTGAACAAATATAAACGCACCATGTCCTGATTGGCTAATGATCCGATCTGCTTGATCGGATCACGGTGATCGCATGTTAATGCAAAGTGTAAACGCAGCCTTAGTGACCATCGGAGCCAGCTGCTAAATTAAACTTTTGCCGAATCCCGTAGGAAGGACGGCAAACACATCTTTCCGATCGACAAATGCCTTGATCGCAGTTCTCTGTTCGTCTATTAAAATGAATGCGCTGTCGATTTCTTTTACAACAGACGCAATAGCGGAATCTATACATCTCAGTTCTCCAGCGGCAGGCATCTCTGAGGGAAACCAGTTAAGCGCTCTTTGATAACGTGATGATTACGTCGCAGATCATCTGTCCATCATCGTATAAAGCCCGCCCTGGCAATTTGATTGGCCCGAACATTTTTTGACTGATCATAATTACTCCTCAATGGATCGAGTCCAGACCGAACTTCCCGACAAAAAAATTTTGTGGGCGGGGTTCGGGCTGGCATCCAGGCTACATAATACCTATACTTTAATTTTAATTGAATTAAATTTAGTTTTTTTGTATTCCAGGTTAAATAATTAATTAATTAATTAATTTGACCAGGGTGGACAGACACTTCCTTTCCCAGAATGTATTATGTTTTAGAATTTCTTTGAATTGCAGTTCAGTAAATACTTCTTGTCATTCCAATTCAAATTCTAATTCAACTTCCTATGGTACAGTATGTGGTCAATTTAAATTCACACTCATGAATGGAAAGTGTGCAAATTCTTCAATTCTGAAACTCCGCCACAGCTTATAAACTAAGTTAGAAGGCTAATCGGCTAGCAGTATGCTATGCTAGGACCTAATTGTTCACCAGTGGCCAGTTGCATAAACATAGCCACTATGTTAAGACTGTGTATTAAGGACTAGTCTGACCAGCCAGCAGTTAGTCAAGGGGTAACCCATCTTAATTTTAAAATTCTAATTAGACCAATCTACTTTTTTGTGTAACTGACATAAAAAAGTTATTACCAGTCTTAAAGATGAACTGAAAAAAGGTGATATAACAGACGTATTTTATTTATTATCATTGGTACAATTATTAAAATGGCAGAATTTGTTAAAAGGGATAAAACTGTACGTTGAAAATGTTGTTTTTGTTACACGGGCGCCGCCATGTTGGATTTCAACATTCGGCTACGTCACTGGGATGGTAGGCTACTCCGTTGCACACTCGGCATTAATTGAAATTGAGCCACAAAACCAAGCTAGATACAAAACATCCAACCTAGGGAAAGGGCTAGCAGCTAAACACGTTGGAAGAACTTTTGTCAAACTCCACAAGCTAGCCATCACTCCGACCATATTAAACTGTATAAATAAATGACTCCGACGATATCACAGATCGATAATAATGCATTTACTAGCTGCTAACTAAACCACAGCAGGTCTGTAAATGTCCCTCTCTACTCACCCAGAAGCTAGCTGATGTTCATCGTCTCAGGGCACATTGTTGATGCAGAGGGAGTTCAACTCGCAGAAATATCTGCCAGTTCCATAGTAAGAGGTTTCTGTGCAGTATCCGTCCGTGCCGAATTTTGTTTTAACATTTTGCGTGCAACTAACTTGACAAGCGATCCCATTGGATGAATTCGTCCAATCACATTTTCCATTTATCTGCCTCGATTTTCTAAAACGCACAAGACCTCAACCATGTTTTTGTATTTTCTCTAAATGCACACGACATAAGCAGTCTCTATTTCCTAAAATGTATAATGTGCTTGGATACAATAAATGACAGTGCATGACGGGCTACAGCCCTCCAACCTCCCAACAACATTTCCCTCTTATAACACCATGAACCACTATTGCCCCATTAAAGTAAAAGTGCTCATTTTCGTCTGTGTATATAGGACCTGTAGCTGTTGCCTATGCACCTTTGCGTGTCCTACCATGCCAGTGACGTCATCGAAACTGCCAGCGTTCTTATACTAACAAGCGCAAATTTTGTGCAAATTAAAAAAAGCTATATTGATATTTTTAATTAAAATTTTGTGTGTAATTTACTTTTAATTGTCATAAACACAATATCAACGTAGATTTTTTTCAGTTCAGTTCATCTTAAAAAAAAAAAAAATTTATAACTAGCTTGTAAGACTAGTCTAAGCAGTTTATGCAACCACCCAGCAAGCACTTTTGCGTTTAAAAGACGTCTAATAGCCATCCAAACACAGCCCTGACGTCTAGGCTAAAACAAGGCAAAATTTGGGCTGTCAGTGAAAATTTAATGGACATCTAACCATAGCCCGAGAATAAACGAGAGAACGTCAAAGAAATGAAACCAAACACTGTTGACTTTGGTAACATGATGGAATATCACACATCTGGCAAGTAATTTTTGGCAAATATTAGGCTATTTTGGCTAGAAGTGAGTTACTCATAGCTGGACTACATTGGGTCTATAGTTAACCTAGACGGTGAAATGACGACTATTGCTTGCTGGGAAGCCACAGATCTAATTGATGTATAAAGACTACAAGAAAACTGCTCATCCAGTCAGATCCATCATATCCCACCATCTACATAGACACATACACACAAACACACAAATAGCCCAATAAAATAAGAACTTTCTGGAAAACATTAGTAAAAAATGTGATTTTCAGGTTTAGAGAGGGAAATAATACCAGTAAGAGATTGAATGGATCCAAACAGATGCTTGTCAGCTAAACAGAAAGTAAGGCAGCTAGTGGGTTGCACTTACTTCTCGGCAGAACTCAAATCAAAACTGGAGGCTCTCTCCAGTGGTGGAGGAGGAAGAAGAGGAGGGGTGGTGGAAAGGTGGAGGTGGGTTAGGCGAGCATGTGGGTGTAGGGGAGAATCGAAAGGCTTTTTGCATACCTGCAAGAATTGGCATGAGCGCTCCTGCTGACAAGCCTCTGCTTTCACTAGAGCCTTATCTACATTTACCGAGGCCTTCTGGTAGACTTGACGTGCTCTGCTCACCGTGAGAGAGGACGACCACGAGCTCTTCTTCACGAGCTGTGAGGCGTCCACGCTCAGCGGGATGCTTGTGCACGTCGAGCACTTGCCCAAATCGTTGTTGCTGCGGGAGTTTTTAAGCGCCTGGTCATTGATGGTGTTGTAGGCCTCCAGAAAGTACTGTGACTGCGACTTATCCGGGTGACGGCCCATGGTCATGACGCCTGGTGGTCCATGGTGAAACAGGCAGGCCTCACGTTCCAAGTCATCCGAGCTCCAGTAGCCGGAAGGTGGCGTCCGGTTCTTGGGCTCGGCCGATTTGCAGCGCTCCCGGCTCTTGCTGCGCTTGCGATGCCGGATAGAAGGGGGTTCTCCATCGGGGCTTGCCTTGCCTCCGTTGATGCTGCCTTTGCCGTGGCCATGACCGTGGTGTGGGCCTTCTAGCGAGTGGGACTTGGTGAAGAGCTTCTGAACCGAGTGCACCAGGTGCCGGATTCGGCCAGGGCTGTCGCTCCGTTGCTCCAAGGCTGCGGCAGCACGCTTGTACTGTAGTGTGTGATAGCCGTCCCGAGGCACTGGGAGTTGCCGGTCAAACTGATCCAACAGTGCAATGGGGAGACGCTGTTGGCCCTTGTTGGCTGGAACCCCTCCGCCGGTGTAAGGAACCACAGCAGTCTCATCCTTGAGCTCATGCTGAGAGCTGTAGTGTCGGCGGGGGAAGGTCCCGTAAGGCACCACGCAGTCAGGCTGGTAGGGGCTTCTCTGGGAGTAGTAAGAATGGTCGGCTGGGTTGGGGCTGTCGATTTGGCTGATGAGGTAGGGCTTGTGGTCCAAGTGGTGACCCATGGAGTCAAAAGAGGTGTCACAGGTCACCACGTGGTGGTGGCTGCGGCTGCTGGATAAGCCTTTCATCACAGAGATGGAATCATCCAGCGAGGGTCGGAGGCATCCACACACAGTACGGCTCCAAAGTGACCTGATGGTCTGCAGGGAATACATAGAAAGACATAAACGACCATGAGTACACTATGGGAATCTTTTCATGTGTTTTGTTCTGTGGGTCAAGGTCAGGATGCTCATTTTTGTTTTTCCAGATCTATGAATTTATTCAGAAATGATTTTGAAAAAAATAATATATTTTATAACATATATTTTTTTTAGATATGAAAACCATTTGTTCGTCAAATCAAATACATGTGTGGTGAGACCAAATTGCAGAACCACGCAGAAAACCAAAACAGGAAATGATATAGAGATGACCCCTGCAAACCCTCATGAATGTGTCAAGGTCAATGAGCAATCTTTAAAATGTTAGATAATTTGACATTTTTTATGACAAGGCAAGGTTAATTCAAATTCTAAAATGTGGTGCAAAAATAATTTTATTAACTTAAAAAAGAAATTAAAAACATTGAAAACTAAAAATAATCATGCATTTCAGGTGTAAGAAAATGGTGTTATGTTTTTAAAAACATAAAACCAATATTAATACAAGATATGTTCTAAAGTTTTTAAAAGATTTTTGCTTTTCTTTATCGTTGATGATCTTATTAGTCATTAATCCCGCTATCAGCAAAAAACAGTTCAATAAATGGCCTTGTTCCTGTTTTATGCAAAGTGGAACCACAATCACTTTACATAAAACAATATGTACCCTAACCTAACCAAGCAGAGCTGATCTGATCAAATACCCTGTTAGTTCAATGAACATCTGTGTCTGACATTACCCAGCAACAGTCAGGCTTTCAAAATGCTTTTTTTTGTCTGACAGTACTGAAAGGATTATTCAAGGCTGAGAAGTCTTGACATACTTTTCTGTCCGTCTCAGAGGGAGGGGAAGAAAGCTAAAATTTAGATGATAGACAGACAATGTAAAAAGGAAAGTTGTACTGAGAATCACAATGAAGTTGCCTTTCAGCATATTCAAAAGGAACTGCGATCCTTTGGAGCTCTCAGAGTTAACTTATTTTAAAAACTTTTTTAAAATTTTTCAAACAATGATTGCCCGTGATTGAACTGTTAACACATTTAAATATGTATCTTATTTTATATATAATCGAAATAATACACATACATTTTATTTTTGTTTTGAGAATGAGGTTGATAAAACCAGACAGAATAGCTCAAGCGCTTATACAGTCAACCCAATGTGTTGACTAATCGCCAAACCAAACGACTTGAGTAGTCTGTACAACCCCTACCATACAATTTTTTTTTATCCCCACTCACAACTACTTTCAGCCGTTCTCTGTCAGATTCAATAAGATCAGTGCGAGGTGAGCCTGATGGAACACCAGGTAGCACTATGACTACTGAAGCACTAATTCAATGTTAAGTGAAGCCTGATCATTACTCTTAGAACCGATGTAGAACTCTTTATACCGATGTCTTTTCAGATGTAAGAGCTCTGGCTTTCATCAAGGCTCTTCTTGGAAAGCTCACACCCTGCAATTGCTTGCTATAAGTTCACAAAAATCAAAACGGATTATTTTAGTTTTCGGTCAGGCTATCTATTGTGCACAAAAATTAGCTGGGATAAACCCCTTTGTCAGCTATGCGATGTAGCTGAATCACTCATGTGAACAACTTCGTCATTCCAATTTTGGTAAAAACTCTGGGCTTTTTGTAAGGCACCCAGCCAAATGTGGCTAACTGCAGATGGTGAGCATATCCTCATTCAGCCACACTAATTGCGTGACGTTGTATATGAAGAAGAACATTTGTTCTAAGGGAGAGAGAGAGAGAGAGAGAGAGAGAGAGAGAGCGAGAGAGAGAGCGAGAGAGAGAGAGCGCAGAAGAGCAGCAGAGAGTGTGAGATAGAACCAAGCCTGTTATTAGAGAGGTTATTATTGGGCCTTGTGACAGTCTAATGGGAGGGGGTTGTTGCAGCTAGGAGTGCAAATTTCACAGATCTCACACAACTACATGCCACACACTCATATCTCTCTCTCACACACACACACACACACACACACGAAGAGAGGAGCTCATTTACACTAAATCTTAAGACAGACAATTGCAAAGCCACTGATACAAACAGGTTCACACTGACAGTGTGAATGTCCTTTCCTCCAGCGTCATCCATCCAATTCACACTATCAACCAGATACACATCATCCACAGTCCATGGTCTGTTCATAACTCTTTCTAGATACAAGAAAAATTATATAAAAAGAACTTTATATTAAAATATATAATTATATATATAATATACACTCACCTAAAGGATTATTAGGAACACCTGTTCAATTTCTCAATGCAATTATCTAATCACATTCAAATCCAGAATGCAGTCAATTTCGAATGTAGTCACATTCAAATCCAGACTCAAAACACATCTGTTTAGCTATGCATTTACTGAATGAGCACTGTGCCACTGTTCGTCCGACTGTTTTTACTGTACTGCTTTAATTTTTGTAAAATTTTAATTTATTTATATATTTATTTATTTTTAAATTATTTATTTATTTATTTATAATCTCTGGAAGAGATTTTGAAGGAGAGCGGGAGAGTCTTCACTCCGATGAGGCGAGTGAAGGAGTAAGTTAATTGTACTGCTGAGAGTATAAGTCGTCGCTGAGAGCGTCGTTAAAGGTAACGGCAGCAGACAGCGCACGCGAAGCGTGCTCTGTGGGGGCCCCACTGGGCATTACTGGTGTAACACCACCCCAGCAGAGTACGTCCCTGGGCCAGAGGTCCAGTGGCACCGTAAACCGGCTCAATCTCTTCCATCTCAGATAGGGGATCCCCGAATTTAGTGAATCAGGCAGTTAGGGATACTAACAAACAATAGGGTTGTTTACCAGGGATGCATCAGGAACGATTCCCGAGAGAAAAATAAAAGAAGTTGTGACCAAAATTGGCGTGGACCAGTATTACTTTATTTTATTTTTTATTCTAAACTGTTTTAATTATTCTTATTTGTTTTGATTATTTTAATTTCTTCTATGTAAAGCACTTTGAATTACCATTGTGTATGAAATGTGCTATATAAATAAACTTGCCTTGCCTTGCCTTGCCTAATCAACCAATCACATGGCAGTTGCTTAAATGCATTTAGGGGTGTGGTCCTGGTCAAGATAATCTCCTGAACTCTAAACTGAATGTCAGAATGGGAAAGAAAGGTGATTTAAGCAATTTTGAGCGTGGCATGGTTGTTGGTGCGAGACAGGCCGGTCTGAGTATTTCACAATCTGCTCAGTTACTGGGATTTTCACACACAACCATTTCTAGGGTTTACAAAGAATGGTGTGAAAAGGGAAAAACATCCAGTAAGCGGCAGTCCTGTGGGTGAAAATGCCTTGTTGATGCTAGAGGTCAGAGGAGAATGGGCCGACTAATTCAAGCTGATAGAAGAGCAACTTTGACTGAAATAACCACTTTGTTACAACCGAGGTATGCAGCAAAGCATTTGTGAAGCCACAACACGCACAACCTTGAGGCGGATGGGCTACAACAGCAGAAGACCCCACCGGGTACCACTCATCTCCACTACAAATAGGAAAAAGAGGCTACAATTTGCAAGAGCTCACCAAAATTGGACAGTTGAAGACTGGAAAAATGTTGCCTGGTCTGATGAGTCTCGATTTCTGTTGAGACATTCAGATGGTAGAGTCAGAATTTGGCGTAAACAGAATGAGAACATGGATCCATCATGCCTTGTTACCACTGTGCAGGCTGGTGGTGGTGGTGGTCTAATGGTGTGGGGGATGTTTTCTTGGCACACTTTAGGCCCCTTAGTGCCAATTGGGCATCATTTAAATGCCACGGCCTACCTGAGGATTGTTTCTGACCATGTCCATCCCTTTATGGCCACCATGTACCCATCCTCTGATGGCTACTTCCAGCAGGATAATGCACCATGTCACAAAGCTCGAATCATTTCAAATTGGTTTCTTGAACATGACAATGAGTTCACTGTACTAAAATGGCCCCCACAGTCACCAGATCTCAACCCAATAGAGCATCTTTGGGATGTGGTGGAACGGGAGCTTCATGCCCTGGATGTGCATCCCACAAATCTCCATCAACTGCAAGATGATATCCTATCAATATGGGCCAACATTTCTAAAGAATGCTTTCAGCACCTTGTTGAATCAATGCCACGTAGAATTAAGGCAGTTCTGAAGGCGAAAGGGGGTCAAACACAATATTAGTATGGTGTTCCATAATCCTTTAGGTGAGTGTATATATATATAGTCTATGACCAAAACAAAGCAGCAATATTGTGATATATTTTTACAATTTTGAATATTTATATTTATTTATTTATTTATTCATTCTCTTTTAATATATTTTAAAAAGAATGGTCTTGCTAATGGTCTTGTCCACTTCAATGATGTATGCTAAGCTATGCTAAAAGTGGTACCGCCAGAACCGGAGATCGGCTGAATGGATTCAAAAACGGTAAAACTCAACAGTTTAACTCTGGGGGAGTTGTAAAATGAGCCTATTTCCCAAAAAAGTGGAGTATCCCTTTAAGTCGTTGAGCTTTCAAAAGTCCACCTTAAAGAGCATCTGCTTTTATCTCAGACACTCTGAATTCAGCACTCAGTTCTGATAATGAAACTAATGCATGTGTGCATGGTGCTCAGTAAAACAGAAACACTATTTTTTTAGTGTGATACTAGAGGAGTGTGAGTGTGTACATGTGTTAGGCTTGATGAGAACCAGCTCTCCAATTGGCAGTTATTAATCACTACAATTTCAAATCAACTTTGAAAATATTGAAATAATGTATTATATTTGCCGCAAACATTCACAGATAATAGGAAAGCACTTTGTGGACCATTCCATAATGCGTGCCCTCATTCTACTGTACATTATAAAAATGAAACATTAATGCTACACGCATCTTAATAAAGCCATTCCCCTCAGTCATCTCTGGAAAGACACCAAATGAGAAAAACTTAACAGCTCCTGTAGCTCACGTCCTGGAATTGTATTCCGTTTGCAAGGGAAATACGTCATTGTGACAGGTGGAG